GGTCAAAATGGTGGTTCCCTCTTCATTTCACAAAATGAGAAGTTGACCTTACTCTTCTAAAAAAAGAACCACATAAGCTCATGGTGTTTATAGCCTTACTTTGTATTATGAAGGAAAAATACAGGAAATCAGCTGGGTTTTGACCAAGACCAAGAGAGGCAGGGGCTCTGACACCGGAAGGGTTCAAACCAGATTCAAACCTCCGTCTCCATTTTGACTACATTTCAAGTGTGGAGACCACCAAGATAGCTCAGTGGCAAGAGGCTAGTTGCCTCACACCCTCCCTTTATCTGTTAGATTTGGAGTTCAGGTAAGATCCCCTGAAACTTTGAGAGTTAATCTCCCTCGTCAAATTCCTGAAGTCTACATAGACAGCAATATGATTAGGGCAAGCCATATTAAATTGCCAATATTTGATAATTTTTTACCTACAAAATAGGCTTATATTTCAACTAATAGTGCAGATGTTTTAATCTGATTTCTGTTGATGCTAATTGGACTACGAATGGCTTTTAAAGGGTTCTTTCAGCTCCTTGAAATTGTTTGAAGCTTTTGTGCCTAAGTGTTTATGTGACTTCATTTTTGAGGGGAGAGAGGACATAAGTGTCAACAAATTTTTTAAGGAATCTATAATTTCCCGCTCGCCCCAAATTAAGAACCATTGGACAGTCAAAAGAATACAGAACTTAAAGTTGGAAAACCCAAATTCCTACCTCCCTAGCATTTAACTAAAGGAAGTAACTTAAGCTCTCAGAATCCTACTTTCTACTGCTGTAATATAGTGTATGATGGGGATATTATAGTACAAAAATCTCAAATAGCAATAAAAACCCAATGAGCTTGATGGATGCTCCAGCAAAGCATGTAATCATGCTTGGCAAACTGTAAAGTGCTATGCAAACAGAATGTAGTATCTGCCCACTTTTTCTTCTTCAAGGGACTTTTCTTTCTCTCTGGAATCAGGAAGTGCCAGAGATGAGTGAAAATGGAAAGGCACAGAAAAAATAATGCAGTAACTAGCCAAAAACATTTTAAAACCTCAGAGAAGATTCTTTTCAAGTTTGTGGTATAGTTTCAGGGTCTGCTATCCAGTGACCACCACAGAGGATAACCTGGAAGTCGAAATGCTTGGCTTGAGAGTATATTAAGTGTGTCTGTACCCAGCAGGCAGATTGAAGAGGGATTTCTTAAGCCCGAACAGTTTTGCATCAGGGAAACATTCTTTCAGTCTTACCGCTCACCAGTGACCAGAAGTTACATCTGGGAGTTAGTGTGCAGGCTTTGGATGAAAAAGCAACTGAAGAATATGGGACTGGTTTTCCACTCCATCTGCCAGTCAGTATCTATCAGTCAGTATCTATCTGTCTGTCTCTCTCCCTCTATCTATCTATCTATCTATCTATCTATCTATCTATCTATCTATCTATCCATCTATCCAATGTATATTTTCTCTGTATCAGAGTATTTTGCGATGGATTCACTGATCTGATTTCACTGGCAATCCTTCTATCTTGGATCTCTCTTCCTGAGTCCTGAGAATCACTTGCTTTTCTAAAAAATCTTTCCTGTTTTCTGATATCTAGCTATAGTTTTTCATAAGAGCCATGTTCAAATTAATTTTATATTGCCTATGTAATATATGAATGCAATCTCCTTGTTAAAACAAATAGTAAAACATTACAGATAAAGCTAACAATCCCCTTGACTTCTTAGCATCTTGTATTTTTCTCTTGGGGCGTGCCTGGTGCTCATTTCAGATCTGAGTAGTCCCCCAGCAGATGCATCTGGTGCTCTTTGTCCTGAAGGGGGCAGCTGTTCACATAATACATTTGGTATGGTGATTAGAGGATGGTCACACTAGGAGTGGCAAAGGTGGCATGGGGGTAGAGTAAGTAGAGCTTCGTATTGCCAAACTTACTGCTCTAGCCACTACCTGTCTTTCACATCTAGGAACATAAAATTCATCATTTATTTCATATAAAGTAAAAATAGTCTGGATTATTATATATATGAAAATAGCTGTGATTTGGCTGTGGAAAGAGCACCTTTAAAAATATCATCTTTGTTTGAATAAGGAATACATTTTTAGTATTCTAATTATACTGCCAGTTCTAGAAGTTTCTTTGTCTATATGTACAGCAAAAGTAGGTTTTTAATGAATACACATTGAACTGAATTTTCTGAAAAGTCTATTAAAAGTTATATATCTATAAAATATATTTGTCATAGATTCCAATTATAGAGATACATTCTATACCAAGAGCCTCAAATATTAACAGTTCCTATGGAAGTAAACCTGGAGTACCAATTCACATTTCTACAAGTGCCAATTTAAAATAGCATATATGAAATTTTTTAGTCTATAAATTTCAGAAAAGCATAATTCTTTATGTATCAAAAATATATGGGTGTATGTTTAATTTAAAAATTTTGTTTTTACCCTTGTCTTCCTGAAATGCAAAGAGAATAAAAATATTTCCTTTTGAGAGTAAGAATTATTGAACATTGAGTTCTTACTCGATAAGCACTGTTGTATGTGCTTTCACATGATTTCATTTAATCCTCATAGTAGCCACGTGAAATAGGGCGTATGTCTGTTTCTGAGATGTGGGAAAGAGGAACCCGAGGCTGGGAAAGGAGAGATGGATTGCTCAGATTTACCCAGCTAGTAAAGATGGAGCTGAGAATCAAACCCAGGCTTCTGTTTGGCCAACACTCTCTCCAGAATAGTGAACTTACTCGGTTCCTTGCACCCCAGTTCAGTTCAATTATGCCTGTATGTGCAGATTCACACTAGTCTCTGCTTTGAGGCTCCAATAGTTATATGAGAGAGTTTATACTTTCCTTGTGTCTGATTGCTGTTGTGGGGCATATTTGATATTCAGATGAGAATGAAGTTTGGTTACCTCTCCTGTGTCACTGTGAGAGGAAGTGCCCAAAACTTGGCATCCTGTGCCTTAATCAAACCCTTGTCTCTCTTTGCTTTGTGTATCCCAACATTCCTCTGCCTGTGTATCCTTGTGGATACACAAGTCTCATCTGTGGTTTTCCTACTTAAGTCACGGCCTGGAAATCCTGTCATAGCTGCTTCCCACAAATCAAGGCACAGAGAAATTGACACCAGGAGCAAACTTTAAGGTTCAAAGAGATTGGGTATTCAAAGACCCTTAGAGCAAGGAGGCACATTGCTAGGAAATGTAAAACGAGCTGGAAGTTTTGGGCACAGGCCCTCAGGACAGAGATATCCATGCCTTAAGACCTACCCCTACTAATTAGTTTCAGGTGGGCGGTGTCTATTTTTGGACCCAGCAGAAGGTGGGCAGACTGAGCCCTCCTGTTCCTCATTGAAGCCACCCCACTCTTCAAGTCTGAGGCCTGTTGGGATAAAGCCACCAGGTGCTTGTTTGGACTCTGTCTGTTCCTGGCTCAGGAAACAACCTAGAACTTTCTTCCAGTACTCAGGTCTCTTTTGTGGTGTATGGAAGGGAAGAGGTTGTGGGAGTTCCCAGGGGACTTTGATGTCTTTGCTGCTGGAGTCGAGGGCTTTGCATTAGGCTCTTGCTTACCTTATGGCTTGTTTCATGTCTAGCCCTCATCCAGCCAGGGACAAAGGACCTCGTATCACAGGCCATAACCTATGGGTCTGGATGTTTCTTAAGTTATGAAGGAATATTTATGTCTTCAAAGAGGGGAAATGAAAAGGCGAAAAAAAAAGACACTGTAAAAAGAAGTGTGGCTGTTCTTTCCCTCAAAGGAGGAGAGGAAGAAGGGAGAGTTGTGCTGCACTGACCACAGGAAATCATAAAATCACCCTAATTAAGCCCGCAGTGCAAATGGACACTCTGTAAACACACCGCCAAGACTCAGGAAAAATCGGTCCGTGGACAAGAAAGAATTCTCATGAAATGGAAAACACGTTTTACTTTCCTGCTCCCCGTTTTTAGGGGAGGTCCTTGCTGTTAGTTATTGTCCCTGCTTTTATAGAGGACGGTTTCCTAGGGCTCCATTACCCTCAGAACCTGATAAAAAGCTAGAGAAGCGCACACAGAACTTGGTAAGGTCCAGCACCAGATTCTAATAATGTAACACCCATGTCACAGCAGGGAGGCTGAGATTTATTCTCTACAGAAATTAAGAGTAATGTTGAGCTAGAAGAAATAAAACAAAACCAGAATTACTGTATCAGATAATATCAGTGTGGAAAATAAGCTCTTCTCTAAGATGTTTTCTTTTATATTAAAGGATTTCCAGGGACAAAACTTCCATAGTTTACTTTGAAAGATTGTTTTATTGTGAATCAGCCTAAACATCTAGGAATATTCCTTATAAATAACTGAATTTTCCTGTGCCTCAGTGTTGGCTCATTTTCCAGCCACGGACAGGGTATATATGCTCTGGGCTCCAGGAGAAGTGCATAAGAATAAACAGTTTGGCAGCTTCTTATCTCAGAAGCAACAGACTCTGCAATAGCCTCTCGCCCGTGTCAGAGTGGACATGCTAAGTGGGAGGTTCTGATAAAAATGTTAGGGGGAAGACAGAGAGATGGGGAGGGATAATTAGCTCTGCCAGTTCAGGGCTTAGAACAGCTCAGAACAAAATAGTAGCTTGGTGATCATCTCGAGTCCACTTCTCTCATTTTGGAGATACGGAGATACTGGCTGGCTCTGCAGTGGTTTATTTTCTCCAGCACTGGTCTCTTTGAGTGATCTTTTCGAGAAATTTAAAGAAAGACGGGTTCAAATAAAAAAGTTGAGGTAGGAAGTTCAGAAAACGATGGGAAGCTCAATAGCAGAAACTTATTTTCTTTCAATCTAATTTTGACTTCTGGTGTGACCTTGGATATCTTTCTGTGCCTATTCCTTATTTTTCTCATTTGTAAAAGAGAAGGAAGCTCTTACTTTATGAATGGTGAGCTATCTGAGAAATATAAAAGTAGTGTGACACGTGCCTTGAGAGCCCAGTGGAAATAACAGCTCATACATGTGTGTGCTTATGCCTAGGTGTGTTTCAGTAGACCAGGAGTGGCCACGGCAGTTTTCCTTTTCTTGACATCTGATGGCCTGGTACCTGGGGAACATCAGCGGCCAAAAGTGACCCTCCTCCTGACTGATGTCAGTGGAAACAACCACTCCCTTGGTGAGTCTGACAATTATCCCTTTAGGGCCACTAGAGGACAATCTGAGGAGTCAGCTTAATGTCTGTCTCTGATATTTGGGACCTTCCTACATCACATGGCTGTTGAGAAGATAAAATGAATACTAGATATGGAAATACAGTACTACGTGAATGGCTTAAAATATTATTCGTCTCCTTATTTCTCTTCAGGAACCTATGAACTGTCATGCCAACATAACCCTCTGGTTATTAATGTGACCCATCACCCAAATGTCCTGTTCCACCGTACCACCTCAGTGCTGCTGAATTTCTCATCCTCATTGGTGGGCATCTCAGCGGTGGCTCTAAGGACATCCTCCCACATAAGTCCTTCAGCTCCCAATAACTGCATCCCAGAGCATGAGGGGCCAGATCATCAGGGACAGAGGTACAAAGTCCCCTTTCTTCCTTTTTGTCTTTCTCTTTCTGATGGCTGTGATGTACTGCTATCATTTCCATAGCACTGTATATACAGGGGGTGCTTAATTAATAACTAAGAAAACGAGTCTAAGAACTACTAAAAAGACACAAGAAACAAGCAAAGAACAATTTGTAGAAGGCACACTTGGGTTTTATATTTTGCTCTTCTTTCCTTAGCTGAGCATAATTTTTAATGTAAATATTTAACCTCTTTACAAGGTCTTAAAATGTTTTTACATATAAAACCACTGCTTTCAAATCAACATTGTTATGTAAACTTCCAAAAATTCTCTGCCAAAAACTCAATGTTCCCTAAGCAATGTATATTTTTCCACTTGTTCCCACCTGGACAGTGTATAAAGAAAGTTGGACAATTAGTTTCTAAGGCATGTTATATAATCAATTAGAGTTACATATGGAAATCAGGAATACATTAGCTACATGTGTCTTTCTGGGGACATCTGTGATTGTCATCATCTACGTAGAGGTTTCCTGGACTCTCAGCTGTAGCTAGTAGAGGGACTGTACTTCATAGTGTTGATGTGCCCAAGGTTGGCCCCAATGGGGGAGGAAGCATGCCAAACATAATAGTCTGTGCTGCCGTTGGGCTGGACTCATTCTGTGAATGGTCTAATCCATTGAGAGAGACCATAGGTAACAACAGGGTTTGTTCCCTCAAGGAGTGAGATGTCAGGCGATTGGGATCCTAGTCACAAAAGTTGGGGTTCCAGGCAATGCTCCATCACCAAGGAGGAACTCCGATTCCACCATGCCCAGCCTAGGTGTATCAGAAGCCTGGCCTTGATTAGGGAGTAGGAGTAGACAGTATTAGTATAGGCGTCTAGCAAATTATACGAAAATTTTGTGGCTTATCACAGTTTCTGTGGGTGAAGAATCTGTATGCAACTCAGCTGCGTACAGATGCATGGGTGCCTCTAGCTTATAGTCTCTTATGAGCTTGCCGTCAAACTGTTGGCCGAAGCTGCAGTTACCTCAAAGCTTGAGTGGAGCTGGAGAATTCACTTCCAAGCTCACTTATGTGGCTATTGGCAGGCCTCAGAAGATCTGCGTCCAAGCTCACTCACATAGGTGCTGGCAGTGGGCATGCTCACATAGGCATGGCTCCGTTCCTTGCCACCTGGGCTTCTTCATAAGCTGCCTGAGTGTCCTTATGACATGGCGGCTAACGATCCAAGAGAGAAAGAGAGCCAGAGAGGGTGAGTATATGAGAGATTGCCCAAAAGGGAAGCCACAGCCTTTTAATAACATAATGTTGGAAGTGTTAACCATTACCTCTGGCATATTCCATTCACTGGAAATGAGTCAATAAGTCTAGCCCATACTTAAGGGGATAGGTTTGCATCAGGGCATGAATCATTTGGGACCATCTTAGAGGCCATCTGCCATATGCAGTAATAGTAGTTTATGTTAACTGAGCACTAACTATGTGCCAGGTATTTTCTAACATCTAGGAAGGGAGAAACAGTAAGGGATAGAGTCTGGATAACGGACAATGTAACGTGAGCTAGTTCATCTGCAACTTTTAAGTTTTCTTAGTGAGCAAACATCTTCAAATAGTAACATAAGAATGTAGACTATTAAAATAACATTTTTTACTAAGATTGTTGCCTCTTTCTCATGTGTTTTCAAATTATTTTCTCTACTGGCTCTACCTCTGGCCTCAAGCCATACAGAATTTCTTTCAGGTCCCTGAAACATGTTCTTGATGAGCTTCACATCTTTGCACATAATATTCCTACGTTCTTGAATGCCTTCCAGTCCTTCCTCACTTCAATTCATACTACACCATCAGGATTCACCTTCTTCTGTGAAGTTTTGGTAAACTTCCTCCCTGTTTCCATAAGACATTGTACACAACCCACACTCTACAAAAGCATCTATCACATTGGGTGGTAACTATTTATTTACTTGTTCTTTCCCACTGAACTCTGAGCTCCCCACAGTGGGAATTTTGCTCGGTATCTCTCAGTACCTAGCAGAGGATCTGGCACGTAGTAGGTGTCAGAAACTGTGTGTTGAATGACAGTTATAGACTTTATCTCTAAGTGTTCCATGGAACAGAACTGAACAAGCAAACCAAAAAATAGAAATCACAGCCTCTCTAGCCCTGAGGGACAAGGATTCCCCTTGCCATCACAGCTGTGAAGTTTTGAGAAAGAAGTTGATTAATTGTGATCACTGCTGCTAGTTCTTGCCTTATTTTCATTTGGCACTGTGAGAAAAACAAGTTTTAAATGCATGCATGCAAACCAGTAGAAATAGGATATGATTCTCCAGTTTACACAGAATGTATCTGGAATGCATAAGCATTTCCAAACCACATGTGACTGACAGAAGCCATGCAAATTGGCGTTTCCCTCTCGCACAGTAAATCAGTGCAATGTAGTAAATTTTGATAAACAGGGAACATAATAGATCCCATGTATTTTCTTTGTGAACAGGTTTAAAATTGGAATCCCTATTTACTCTCAAAGGATGGAAATCTTTTTGCATCTGTGTATCAATCACAGTTGTATATGTAGAGTAGACCATAATATGAAACCCTCAAATTCTGGGCATAGTGAGAGGGATTCCTGGCTACCTCCTTCTTACCCCTTACCTGAGTTCCATTAATACTTAAACTGGCAAGGAAGAGCTGACAGATGTCTGGCAGTAGAAGATATGTTATCTATTTTGTATTTAACTATTAATGACCGATGTCCTATCCCTCCTACAGCACTGCATCTTTAAACCAGCCTGACTGGCCCACAGAATCTCAGCTGAAAGCTGATAAACCTAAGTCTAGCTCTCCAGTGATGTTCATGATCCTTACGTTGGACCCTTTGACTTTGATCTCTCTCATCATCTTGTTTCGCATTCTGTTGCGATAGCTACCCAGTTTATGACCAGTTGGGCTTAGTCTTCTGATAATGAACGCTTTAGTCTTGAAAACCAAGTTTAGTTTTCCTAGTTTCAGCCACCAGTGCTCAATAAGAGGTCAGTTCATTCTTACTCTCCAGCTGTTTCCAGCTCTAGCCATTTTTGGGACATGTCCTGCATAACCCACTCAGAGCATTCCATGAGTTAGAGTATCAGGCAGATCCCCAACCATCCCAGGATTGTGTTGATGGCTTTGGGAAGTGAGAGCCATCTTTTTGATTAATGCAGTGGGATTTGGAGTGTGTCCAAGAGAGAGAAATCAGGCACTAATAGGTTAATTTGCGTAATTGAGTGGATTAGCTTGCAGATAATCAGGTCTCTTATTATCTACTTTGGAAATTCATAAGGTCAAGCCTAGAAGAATTTACTGATAGGCAAGAATTGCTGATAGGCATGTGGTTTCTCCTACAACAGAATTTTGTTTTTCCAGTCACATGAACACAATAGAAAAATTTATTGTTACTTCTTTGACCCTACCTGATGGTATATCCATTGGATCCCACAGTGTAGAATCTTCTGAAGATGAAGAACAGCATCTCCTTTTCCAGGGCATGGGCTGATGACGATGGTTGAACCTTCTGACTACTCATCTGTTTTCAGCACTTGCACTTTCCATTCTATTGATTTTTTTATCTACTTGTGCTATAAAAGGTTGAGAATGCAGTGTAGCCTTCCAAACAATTGTGATTCTTTCAGTTTTCCCTTGTATTTCAAACTGTTCTGGCTTTTTATAATTTGATGTTACGTAGTTAGGTGTATAACTGTTTGTGACTGTTTTATCTTTATTAAGATCTCTTTATTAAGGTTCTCTTGCCAAGCTTTTTGCCCCTTTAAATGCTTTTGGCTTTGTATTCTACTTCATCTGGAATTAAAATTTCCATCCCTGCTTTCTTTTTGTTTGTATTTGTGTGATAAATATTTGCCTTTCTTTCATTTTTAACCTTTCTCTGTCTTCACTGCCAATAAGCCCAGGGCACATTACTTCACTACACTGTTTACAAAGACAGTAGGATTTCACTGTGTAAAACTACACCAAGCTTTTATTCTGAAAACTTATCTCTTGGTCCTCAAGCCTTTGGTATTCTTTAGGAATCTGTAGCATGTTTACCTTTGTGGCATTTATCTCCTGGGATTGAATGGCCTTTGCCAATGGTTCTTCCTCCCTCCCCACGCACTCCCACCCCACTCCACCAAGACCCTATATTTTCTGACCTGAAGTCTTGAAGTGAGTGAAGAGAGGGGGCACTGATGAGCACTGATGGGTGGAGAGCAGATCTGTGACCCCTGAAAAGCAGTGCCCAGTTTTCTGGTCTTTACATGGGCCAGAGAGTGAGGACAGAATGACCTGTTTCTTTCCTCTCTTCTTTTAGTATGGCTCTATTCCTCATTTGCTTTTTTTCAGAAAACAAAAAAAAATGCATGCTTTGGCTTCCAATGATGTTTCTCAATTCAACTCGAATACATTTTGAAATCAGGAGGAGATCCTCACAGATTTTGGCTGTCAGTCTTGGTTTTGGTGTTGATAAGAGTTTTCATATTTTTCTGTGTTGTTGATATTGAAGTGGGAAGTGGAGAGAAATTGCCTCATAGTATTCTTGTGAGATTAAGTGAGAATGATACATGCGGAGTTTGTAGCACATTCTAACCCCAAGCAGGAGCACAGCCCGAGGTGGTTTACACAGCATTACCCATCTTTATTTTTACCATCCTCCTTTTACAAGATGTGCCAATTATCAGTCACTTTGTTGCTTCTCAGCTCCAAATCCACTGTCATTACCCTAATTTGTAATTCTAGAACAGATTTTATTAATATTTATCCTTTGCTGGCTGGCACAATGTTAAGTTTTGTCAGTAGAGGGTTCTGGAGAGACTTTGCAGGAGGAAGGGGCTTCTCTTCCTGGTTTTGGTGTGCTTTCTTCTCTTTTGCTGCTGTAACATGCTCAGAAGTGGTCACCCATGGTCAAATACAGCAGCCACTGGGTTCACAAGGTATTGTTTCCAGTTGGCTCTTCATCCTAATCAGCCAGA